GCCGGGGAAATATATAATTTTCCACATTGTTATTTTAAGATAGTTGTGTGCCGGTATGTAGAATCGTTGGTATGCAGGCTACATAATTTGCTAAGAAGCTGATGGCTAAGGAATTTGTCCGTTAGGAGTTGTCACTCGACGGCATCTCCGCTTTTGATCACTTCATTGTGGAAATTTTGTTTCAGTAAAGCTTCCGTGATTATATTTAGTACATTTATTGTATTAATAACCATCCTTAGGCCGTTTACGGTTGCTGTACATGTAATAAACTATGCTAGGGCTGTTTATGTCTGTTCAATATAGGAGATGCTCCGTCCTATACGACTAGTGTTTTCTCACTTGTACTACGTTAGAAATTATTTTGTTTTCGTTTCACTGCAGCGTGATTAGACATCAAAGGCGATTTGTCTCGTCTCAGCAGGTAAGGTTAACCCCTGCCTGTCAGGTTAGACAAATACTTTTTTCATAATGACACTTTGGTTCGACTACGCGCCGCAACTGACGATTTAGAGCAGCCAGTACCGCCTTTATTTTTTGTAATTATTAGTTTAAACTAAAAATGTAATTGCTGGGGTACAAAATAAGTTGTGTGTTGTTAATAGTGTGTGTTGTTGTTGTACCGCCGGGCGTGCTTTGTCCACGTTTTAGGTATTAAAACAGAAATGTGGAAACGAAGAAATAAAATTGAACTCAGAAAAGTGATGCTCTGAAGACGGAATTAAGTTTATATTTTATATGTATAGTGCCCTGTTATATAACTGAGAAAATGTCTTCATTGTGATTGGCTGGGAGCAGGCCAATTTATCGCGTTAAAATTTTTTCATTAATTTGAAAATAAGCGCGAGTGCGTCCGCAGTTTTTTTAGTTATAATAAATGAGTAATTTCAGCCAATCATAATCCAGAATTACGATGTGTAATTGCACTGGTGTTACACTTGAACTGCACTGCTCTCAGCCAATCGGAATCGAGTAATTTTTTCAGATATATTATTAAAACAAAACACCTTTATTAAAGAGTCTGAGGGTATTTAGCATTGCTGCTATACAAATTTTAGTTGAACGATGTATGCATGCCATTTGCAGACTGCAGACTGCAGACTTGGTAACAAATGCGCGAGCCCACAGTCTACAAATTTCATACATTTGGTTTCGAAAATTTGCCACGGTGATCCGCCGCTATAGTTTTAGGTATGGGTCTCTTTTAAATTTTAGAGTTAACATTTACGCATTAGCCGCTTTACACAATGAAAACGCATCAAAAGTTTCCTTGCAGACTATGCCGGAGAAATTTGAAAATGCCACAATAACCGGTCATTTTAGATTTGTGTTTGAGTATTCTCGGGCAAGGGAATGTCATGACGATCGTGACGTCATCGTTTTCGAAAAGCTTCGTTTTCAAAATGTTTTCTTTCCACACTAAAACACAAAGCCGGCGTTTTCATTTCATCCGTTTTGAAGAGCGTTTTCGAAAAGCTCCTTTTCGTGACAGATCAGGTAGTGTGGGCGGAAGGCCTGACTGGAGAAATTTCATATGTTGCTGTTGTTATGTTACTATCCTAGCCTGCGAATAGGCTCCCGGTGAGCCTGTCCCGCCCCGGTCGCTTCGTTCATTCTTCTATTTCGCGCTCGCCGCCGAATTTTTTTTCCCGTCTTCTCCGGGAGCCTGTTCGCAGGCTATACTATCCCACCTTGCAAGCTCGTGCACCTTGGAAAGACCGCTTCGTCCTTGAGATCAACTTCAATTTGTCATGAAACTGAAAGCTTTCTTAATTCCTTGTAGTTCTGATATTCTCATTCAAACTATCATCCTCATCTGATACGTACAACGACCATCTACTGCATGGATTATCAAGACGTGCGCTTTTCCTTTGGAAATTTACTGTAAAAATACTGCTCAAATTGCTGTGAAATAAGTAGCAACGAAACAAAGTATAGAGCTGAAGACAGTTGCTAGATTTTCAAAATTGCAAAGGCTACTGACTGTCCTATCATAATCTGACCATGCAGCGTTGTTGATAAGGCTAGCCGGTTAACGCGACCGCATTTTATGCTCTGGCATCAGTGATCGCATTAATTTGTTTTAGAAAAATGTTCTGGTAGAAGGCTTCTTTAGAAAGCTCAACAACAACAACAACAAGTTAGAGAATGTTACCAGCTCACCCGAAATGAAGGTTGTGTTACTCCAGGCCCTAATAGCCGGAGTGTACCAGCGAGCAAACTCCTTTGGATCACCACCATTCTTCAGCCATTTCTCTCTTTTAGGACACGGAATCACTTTAGTTTCTATGGAAATGAGTGACAGGCCAGCTTTTCGAACAGGAGAGTGCTTCGATTCAAATGGCTGTTTGAATTCATCCACTGTACGCAGATAGCGAGGAAAGTTCGTCTTGTGAAATTCTTCCTGTCAAGTCAAAAATATTGGGAGCAAAATTAAAGGCTGGAAATCGTAAAGCCCTTATCCCTCTCCATTACATCTAACATCGTATAAGCGAACAGCGGTGTAAAGAAATAGATAGATAACAACTAAGACTGCAGATTCTACACATCGCCAGTAAGTTGACAACAGTCAAGCATCTCATACAGTTTTTCTTTTTCTTTTATTTCGGGGGATTTCAATCCATGAAGCGAAACAGGGAGTAAGGATGTATAAAATAGTTACGAGTGTTAAAATATTTGCATTTTTCTTTCTTT